ATTTAATATCTGAGCTTTAAAGAAAAGCAAGCTCAATGTTTCTGAGGGTAGCAGTTTGCTGAGCTGCTGGCCTTACCTTGGAGCTCAAGTCCATCACTGTGGTAATGGCCAGTCTCTTCGCGAACGAAGAACCGGGGAAGGTCTTTCCACCTTCCAGCCTGCGCATTGGATTTTTTAGGTGAGACACAGCGTGCGTGGAACTGAGCCCACCCTTTAATCCTGAGGTTCATCTGCCGGGGCCAAGCACGCTTGGACGGTGGCAGTGAGGTCCTCAGGACGTAGATGGATTGCCTTACAGGGCTAACGAGCTCCATCTGCCCGGGGAGGGGCCCCGACCGGGAATCGAACCCGGGTCTCTGCAGTGACAGTGCAGTGAATTTTCCCCTGGACCACCGGTGTGGTAGACCACAGCTGTTTCAGGCTGTGTAGCTGTGCTGATCAGCACACTGTGACAGCTGAAATGCTCTCCAGTTTTAATGTTCATTTAGTAACCTGACCTCCCTGCTAGCTGTAGCTCTTCATGAAGAAAATTTCAAATTTAAAATTCATAATCTGACAGTCTCTGTCACTCAGGGTCTTGCTTAGATCCCAGCTCAATCTGTGGGCTACATTTGTCTTTTGGAGAAACTATCCATCCAGATGTGCTCTCCTACTAAGCTGTTTGCAGTAGTGTCAAAAAAAGTCCATGAAAAGCTGAACCAAAAAAATGTGATTGGAAGAGTGACATTTTTCTGCTTTTAAGAGGCGAGAGCACCTGAGCCATCACATCAGCCATCCCTTCCTTGCACAGATAGGGCTGGGGAGGCCAGTGCAGCTGCACTTGGCAGGATTGAACTCAGAGAACTGATGACACATACATGCTGAGATCTTTCTCTCTCTCCCCCTCTCTCTTTCCCTTTCTCTCTCTTTTTTCTTTATATATATCTCAGGGAACAACCCAATGAAAAAGAATACATGAGGAGAGAATTTTTCAGGCAAGGGTGAACATAGTGTTGCAAATCCTTGCTTGCAAGTTCTTTATCTGTACAAATCTCATGTTCCTTGGGAGGAAGGTAAAAGAGTCTCCATAGCATGTCTTTAATAGGATATTTTCTGCAGGACTGTTTTGTGCTTAAGCACTGCATTATTCTTTCTTAATGTTATTGCAGATCTTTGTCTGATTTGTTCTGTTTCCACTGCATATAGTGCTCTTCTTTTACCTTTCTCTCTAGACCTCAGCCATGTTGGCATAAGAGCAAGAGCAGACTAGTTCTGGTGAAAGCCAGGGCTTTTATTCTTACTGATTTATTTGTTAAAGTACAGAGTATTCCTCAGTTTAGTCAAAAAATAATGAATCAGGTCATTTTCTCAGTTGACCAGGAAGAACTCTTTTAAGTCTAAAGGAGCTTTATGTCTGACCACTCAAATGCCATTTAGTTTGGCCAGGCCTTGCTTCAGTCCATTCTGTTCTCATTTAAAAAAAAAAAAAAAGAAGAAGAAAAAAAAGAGATGCTGTTATTTCCTGTGTTGCTTTCATGATGAGGACTCTATACTGAGACACAGCTCTGTGGCAGCATAGAGAATGAAATGGCTCTTGGATTATCATCAAGCACAGATGGGTGATGCTTGGGAAATATGTTTTAAGCCTGAGGTGAGGCTTCTGATACAAGGTGTGATGTCTCATCACAGAAGAATGGTCATAAAAGCTGAAGATGCCATAATGAAAAACAAGTGATGACCCAGAAAGAAACAAAAGCTTTATTCTTATTAGAGCCCCTTGAGGTTTTTGATCTTTCTTTCATGGAGACTTCAAAGATCTGGAAGTCCGTGTGAGACCTGTTGAGTAATTCTCATAACTACTTCCATATTTTAATTCCATCCACTGGCCAAGGTCCAAATCCTCTTCTCCCACAATTAGGGATACAAAAACCCCTATTATAATTACCTATTTTAAAGATAGCTTTTCTGTTCATTTCAGAAGTGGCTAAGAGCAGTCATGGATTCTGTGAGTTACTCCTGGAGAAAGGTCTTTGCACTTTTCCTTCCCTTTGTCACAGATTAGTTCAAGGAGAATTTGGGAAGGATGATAGAAGGAACTTTTGCCAGAGGGTAATTTTGTTATCCCATATCAAGATCTTTTGTCCAGCAAAAAGATGATGATAAGTGCGATTTGTTTAAGTTTTTTGAGCTGTGGATATTTTATACTCAGAAAAAAATTATTTGTAACTCAGTATAGTCACTTGCTGATCATTCCCTTTGCATTTAAAAGTGGTAAATAAAGTTGGTTCTGGCCTCTGTCTCAGCCAGGGTCATAGTCACTGATATTTTGCAGAGCTGGGGAAGGTCCAACCAATAGAATGCACAACTTCTCCAATTACTACCGAAGTCACAGCAAGTTGAGGGAATAAGAAAAGGGCAGTGACTTTGCCACATTGCCCAAAGAGATTTATACCTCTCTGGCTTAATTACCCCTTGCAACTCTGAGTGCTTTTGCTGGAAACATTGTAGAACGACTCTGCTGTGGATGACCACTCCCCTTCTGCCAACCACAGCCCAGAGCAGGATCACAGTGAATGCTTTAATTCCCTGGTAACTGCTTTCCTGAGGTCTGGAATAGAAGCACTGTACAGAATTCGCAGGCATACTACCATTCTAACTACCGTAATAAACAAGTGAAACCAGATTTGAAGTTTTCCCCAAGACCCTTCTTCAAAAAATAAAGATCCAAGTAAAGATACCAAGACTTTTGCATATTTAAGAAAAGAACTGTAATGTAATTATTTAATATTCATATAAATTCCAATCCTGCACAGCTTATGGAACAAATAGCTTGTTCAGTGTTATCTAAATTGAATGTCTGAAGAAATAGAAATGTTACTGATGTTCAGCAGGAAGATGGCAGCCACTCAGGAGGCCAGAGGGCCAAAATATTTTGCTTAGTCTTTAGTCCTTCTGTTTGTTTCTAATTGGGAACTTTCTCTGACTCTGCATTTATACTCCTTTCGTGTTTCAGATACAGAAAATCTCAGGGCAGCATATGATGACTTTTCTACTTTTAGCTAAAAGTTCTGATGTGATACATAATTCCTAATTTCGTTTTCTAGCAGCACCCTGGTGTTGAAACCCATTTAACAGATGAGCCTCTTGTGTCCTGGATCATGAAGTTGTACCTGTAGGCCTTAGGACTTGCACCACTTTCTGTAGTTCATGTGTACTGGCAGCCTTTTATGACGAAAATCTATTGTGATGGCTTGATATAAAAATAATTAAGAAGATAAGCTTGAAATTCTTCTTTCTTTGCCTTGTAAGATCCATGCCTGTGACACTGTGAATGGTTGTGAGGGGAATGTGAGGATTTGAGTTTCTTATTATTAAGTAGAATTAGTGCTGTAGGAGCAGCAATTCCTGTGGATTTCCTGGAAACGTAGTTAAGTCAGGCTGTAATGTAGATTTAAATGGTCTGGGGGAGGAAACTTCAGTGGGTCACTTTGGCTGCCAGTGGCTGTTTGGCCTGATGCTGCACTCTTCTGTAAAGTGGCTGAGACATCACCTTATTGCATCTGTGGCCTCTGCTATACAAGCAGCAGATATTTTCAGATAAATGCAGATAAATTTTCCTGTTCACTGGGAGAAGTGATGCAAATCAGAATGTCAGCTTTGATTTGTTATATTCCTAGAGGATAGTGTGCATGGGTGCTTTTCTTATGAGGCTGTCTATGCTGCAGAGAGGTTTAATTTTCAGCAGGGAACGTATTATGCAGCTTATTTGATTGCAAATTTGTTTGAACAGCTTTCAGCTTTATATTTCCCAGTTAGGTAATATAGCTTTAGATAATAATTGCATAATTGGCTTGAGTCACACAGATTTAAGGTACAGCATGCCTGATCTGACTGTTTGTTAGCTTTAAGTGGCTTTATACAATAGATGCCCTGCAACTGAATTTAACTCTTTTGTTGAGTTTTCTTCCAAATAATTTTTGTCTGAAGAAGAAGGATTTTCTTGGTACTCAAGGAATGACCATCCCTGTTACTGAAGTTCTGATGCTGGACTATGCATGTTTTGTGGATTGGTGTAATTTCTAGATGGTACACCAATATGATGAAATAAAGTGATTTTTAAAATCAAGAGTGAGTGCATGGCACAGAGAGCATCTTCTCTGACTGTTTCTTGTGGTTTCACTTTCCTCTAGAGGATGGTGGGAGGGATCACTTTCCAGTCACGATTGATAATGATGAGCTTCACACCTAAGATTCGTTCTTTCATCCCTCCATTTCACAGGCCTAAAAGATGCTACAGGCTCTGAGAGTGATGGTGGCGACTCTTGCAGTACAAAATCGGAAGGAGCCAACGGAGGCACGACAATCCAACCCAAGAAGGTCAAAGGTGTTGGCTTTGGAGATATCTTCAAAGACAAACCCATAAAGCTGCGACCAAGGTCAATAGAAGTTGAAAATGACTTTATCCCAGTAGATAAGGTACGTGTCATTTCTTAATTCTCTCTTGGTGTTGGTTTAAATAAGTTTTCATCTGAAAGTTCTAAATTCTGTCACTGGCCAAAACTTGAAGCTTTATGGTCATTGTTTCCTAATCTTTCTGTAGAGAAGATTCTGCCTTTTTCTTTTTTTTCTTTTGCCTCACAACAGAAAGTGAATTCCAGTGAGGTTAGCTGTCTGCTAAAATGAAAAATAAAATTAAAAACTGATCAGTCTAAGGTATCTTCTTTAGGGAAACAAACAAAAAAAGTTATGGTTTCCTAATGAATTAACAACCAAAGAAAAATCCATGAAATTCTTCCTTTAAGTGAACAGTTAGATTTGAATAGGGTTACTAATATGCTGAGAAGTGTTAGGAGGCTTCCACAGTCTCGAGTTTGCTATATTTACATGATCCATTTTATTTGCCTCCATGTGATTTTAAGAAGCTCCTAGACATCTGCTCTTGGTCCCTGATATGGCAAGTTCTCACTTCTGCCATGCTTGTCCAGTTGTCTGTAGAACCAGACAATACAGGAATTACATTTTTTGGCCTGCAAGCTTTGGGGTTTTTTTCAATGTAGATCATTTCAGTGATCTGATTGATAGCACAGCACCTACCCCTGTATGCACCCTGAGTTACAGGAGAAGGGAAGGTCCTGTAGAGCCATGGCGGAAACTTCTGAAGTTAATTATGCTGAGGGAGATTTGATTAATATTTTCCAGGAGACCATTTCTCAGTCTCTGTAAGGATGGTAGTGAAGAGCTGGGATAATCTAAACACAGGAAAAACCTAGGCTGTATTACTCCTTGACCACTGCTGACTTTTTCAAAGCCTGCATGGTACCCTGCTTGCCTTCTGTTTCTAGGTAGAAACTTCTGGTTTTGGCTTTGTTCATGTGCAGGGAACAGCTGAGCTGTGTTCCAGTGGCCTTTCATCAAAGAAGTCCCCCTGAGATATAAGATAAGGACAGGTCAGGCCTGGTGGTGCTCACTGATTAGTAGCTTATGAACCTTCTTCCTGCCAGGTTCAGGGAATGGGGTGGAGCAGTGAAGTCAGCTTTCCCTGGAGCCATCAGGGTGTCTCTCTGCAGGATGCTTTTTGTGACCCTGACAACCCCACAGTGTTCAAGGTGCGGTTGGGCTTTATAGAAACTTGCAGGTGTGCTGAAAAAGGATTTTTACTAGAACATGAACTTAGTTAGTAAAAGGTTTCCTTTTTAACCCATTTTGGAGGATATTTGAGTTTGTAATTTGATGGCTGTTTGTGATATTTTACTTATGACAACAAGTATTTCCTTACAAGTCCTATGTAAGCAAAATTGCTTTGTATATATGAAGCAGCTGATAGCAAGCAGACTTAAAATCATGTATGGCTGTACTTAAGCCTGTTTTTTTCCTTGGGACATTACAAAGTCTTGTAGCTTTAGCAAATTTGTATTTTAGTCATGCGGTTCTACCAAAGGTAGGCTGTTTTAAATTCTTAATTTTCTGCGGGTAGGTATGTAAACAAAATATGCAGTGCAGGAAGAAACTCGCCTAAATAAACATACTATTACAATTTACATTATAATAGTATTTGTAATGGTGTGTAACATAGACATTCACTTGTAAGGCACTGACCATAATTCAAGTGTTGCACAAAATTCAGTTCTTCTAAGTCTGATATAGACAGATTAGAATTTACAAATGATAATGCCCTGTTAATGTCACGTGAAAGATCTGTTTTGTTGCAGTTTACTATAATTGTAGTTATCTCTACAGTAGTGATTGTAAGTGGGAACTGATTAAAATAAATTACATATCCCTTGAACTCTGGAGCCCTTTGTTTTAATGTGAAGTGTTCGCAAAGTGCTTATGAAGTGGCCTTCATTTCTCGAAGGAAAGTCTTACTCCCCTTTATAATAATTGGAAGTCTTACCTTTGTTTTTCACAAACAACAAATAGGTTTGTTACCCAGCAGAAAAGTGAATATAGCATTTTCAGAAACAAAAAAATTTTCATCCTACGCACAGAACTTCCTTTCTATGTCTTCAAATTTTTCCTTAAGTTTACACGGTTAGGAGAAAAGAATGGCTTCGTTTTGTAAACACAATGCGTTATTTGTGTTTCAAATATGTGGGTAACTAAATCCAACACTTCTTTGCTGTTGTTGCTTTTGTCCTGTCTAAGGTTTAGGTTAATTTTGAGAGGTGCCATTCAGAGTCTTCAGCACTGTGTTCTTTGCCCGGTAACAGCATCAAAACTTGAATCAGTGACACAACATTCTGTTACCATTACAGACCATTAACCTCCCCAAATACTACTCTCCTGGCTGCAAGAAATTCCTCCCTTGTCATTGCCACATTCTTTGCCATTTGATGCTGTTTGTGAGGGAATCCTGCGTTAAATTTGCCATTCCATGCAAGGTCATATTTAGGTTAAGAGCTCTGCATGCTGGTTCAAAAGTGTTGCAGTGCATCCTGCAGAGTGCCAAATTGGTACATATTTTTCTCTAGCAGTATAGGTTTTAAAGGGATCTTTGCCCTGGTATGTGTCTTGCTCCTTTACAAGTAGCTTCAGTTTTTCAATAACTTGTAATCTTTTGAAGAAGGAGAAACAGTGCTTTTCTCTACTCCTTTTTTCTTAAAGTTCTTTCTGAAGTTTGGAGACCCTAAAACTTTCTATTGCTTCCTCTGGATACAGTTATTGATGAAATATTACTGTAATGATATTGTTACATTTTTGATTTGAAATTTCCTAACAATTGTTGTTTTTTATAAAGCATCAATAAATAACTGTAAGGATTTTATAATGTGGGATTTTTTTATAACATGATAATTCCTGTGGAAAATGTCAGAAAGGTTTGCTGCCAGTAGAGCAGAAGCAGGCTCTCCTGTAAATCATCAGGCAGATTGATGCAGTTCAAGTGTTTGCCCAGTGGTAACAATGTAGGATATAGTGGCCCTTGTCTTTTAAGGGGATCAATAGACTCTCAATAAAAGGCAAAACTGAGGAATTGCATGAAACCCCATTGGTTTTATTGGTGTGCAGAATTAATTGCTTAGCTGTTCTTTGTTCTACAAATCACAGAAGCAGATTATCCTAGGGAAATTAATGATGCATTTGTGGGAGTTTAATTTGAGCAGTGCCATCAGACCTCTGCTATTTTAGAAAAATAGAAGAATCAAATACTTACACTTTGTAGTCCATTTCATTGCCTGTTTGTGCTGATGAGTTGCTGTGGCTGCTGGCCATGTATAACTAGAATCAGATTCCTGAGGCATGGCTCTGTCAAATTTCCACCAGTGATAGATGTAAGAAAACTGTTTTACAATGCTGTGTGTGATTGAAGACATGGCTTGCCTACAGATGAATTTTTAGAAGAAATACAGTAAGCATAAAGATATGTTGTATCTCCTGAGAAAATTCAGTGTAACACTCTTAAAGTAGTACAAGGTTTATGGTCAGATAGAAATGCCTGTTTCCCATGTCTCCCTTCTGCTTGTGCAGCCTCAAGACATTTAAACAAGTGCTTATGCTTATTTCCTTTTTTTCCATTTTCATTTCTTAGTAACTTATCTAAAACTTCTGTTTCTGGGTTGGACTTCCTTGCAATATGATCTGTATGGGTTTCCATTGTTCTAACAAGCTATCACTTTTTCCTCTCCTATATCTAAGAATAAACCTCTACAAGTACAGGAAAATTAATTCAACCAATACATTCCATAGTGTGAATTAACTGTATGGGATTGGGTTGTGAGTTGAGGCTTCGGTCCAGAAACGCTAAAGGTCACAATAGGTGAATATAAAGAGCTATTTTTATCTTTCTGAAAACTGCCCTTACTTCAGAAGAGACTGTTGAGAGTATTTTTTGCATTTTCCATTTGAGCTGTATTTGTAATGTTTTGCAGGCAAGACTTCCATAGTTGGCTAGCAGTGGTGAATTTGGGCAGAGCTAAATTTCATGAACAGCCTTTGATGAGGTCACCATACTCTTTGCCAAAACCTGATATAAATTATATACTTAGCTATCAAACTGGGAATTGCAGACACTGTAATGATTTAATATAAAGGGGGAGACTGTCATGCCTCTAGATTCAGCAGCTTGTAAGATCTAGTTAACTGGTGTTTAGGGATCCTTACTGCAAAACACCGAATCTATACAGAAAGTTTTATTTTTGTCTGTATTCAGTATGTTTGGAAGAGGAGAAATGGAGAAGAAATAATGGAAGTAGACACAAGAGCTACACGGGCTAGAAGCTCCTGTCAATTATTAAGTCTACCTGTCCTTTGTAATAAGATAGAAATTTGTAAACTCTTGAGACAGTGCCTGCAAGGTCTGAGTTTCTATTTTGAGCAGGCGAGCTTGGGACCCAGGAACTGCAGTGAACGCATTGTCTTTGCCACACCTGTTCTGTCAGTTCCTGCCTGCTTCCTTTTAGAAAACATTTTTACCCCTTAATTTTCAGTTAAGAAAGGCTCCTCCTTGTGTTTCTAAAGCGGCTGACGATGTGCCTGAGCTCTGCCCGTCCTGACCAGCGGCACCCGTGGTGTGTGGCCAGCCCTGGCTCTGTGTGCACTTGCCTCTCACTGCTACTTCCTTTGCCTCTCCGATGCATTTGGAGGTGCTTGCTTCCCTAACAGAAATGTTGAAGCCAGTTTTCAAAATCCTGAGATAAAGAAAAAATGTCTGCAGGCAAAGCCCCCTTGTGCTGACTACAAATGCTATCAAAAACACCTGCTGAGGCAGGGAGTGTGCGCTGGGGGCACCGGGGGTGTGTGGCGCTTTGCACTTGAAAGCACAGGTTTGTGGCATTCCTTTATTCAGACACAGGCATCAGGGATGGCAGCAGCGGTCGTGCCAAGCATCAGCAGTTTGTCAGATTCTGTGTAGGAACAGAGGAAGCACTCATCTCTTCAAGCAGCATTCATGTTTTGCTTTGAAGATTCTGTCGGCTGCAGTCTGGCATCCCTGTCCCAGCCATTTATTCTAGTGCCACCTTGTGAGGAAAGCTGCAGGG